CGGACAACACTATGTCCTGTATCATGTCTCAAGTTCGTTGATGCTATTTAAGCTTGCAGGTTGTTACATTACAGGCTGCAACCACGCCTTACTGCTACAAATGGTCTAAGCCCTCAGTCTGCACGCCTTTAATCGTGTATCGTACATTTCGGCTCCTCCGATCTACATACCCTCGAAGCCCTCTCCTGCATCGTCTTCATCGATGTCACCCTCCTGAATCTCCTTAGCCAACTCCCTCTCCCTTTCTCTAGCCTCCTGTGCGTTTTTCAACTCTTGCCTGTGCTTGTTCATCGGATATCTCATAGCCATGACGCATTCATCATGAATGCCCAGGCATGCGTTGATACGCTCGTGGAAGGCCTCTGCTGGCTCTTTGGTTGCGTATGTGTCGCCAGCCTGCTTGGACTCCATAAATCCATGCTCGTGGTCGAGAGTAGCCTCGATGACACCATCACGGATGGCCTTCGCGACAATATACTCGGCTGATTCCTCACTCTCAACACCCAGGCGCAAGCAGATGTCGCGCAGAGAAATGCGGGAGTATGACAGGGAAAGCATGCGGACACCAGTCTTGATGACGTTTTGTCGGAGTCTTAGAATGAGTGTGTAGGTTCCATCTTTGCGGAACTGTGGAGCATGCTCTTCAACGACCTTCAGATACGCCTGTAGATCTCCTACCCGGACTGCTTGTACGAGACGGAGGTATGCGTAAAGGGCCCGCTCAAGGGAGGGTTGTCGGAAAATGGCCCGCTCTGGGATGTCACCCATGAGAAGCTCCACCACGACCTGGAGCTTCATGGCAGACTGGTAGAAGCCAGCAGCAATGTTGCTGGTTGGTGATTTCCGAGTTGCGCTGACGAGGTGCTCGTGGGCCGCAGTGTATGAGAGTTGAATGGCCCGGATACGGCCGAGGTAGTAGAGATAGCGGCATACTTGGTTGTTTGGCGCATTCTGAGGGAATTTGGTTTGAGCGACGAGGAGATCGGCTTGGGTGATGTCGGCGACGGAAATGTAATGACGTAGGAGTAGAACGGTAACGACTGCTTGGGTATCTAAGTCCTTCCGCACTACGGAGGTGGTGAGAGCTTTAAGCAGCATTTGGCGCGCCTCAAAGACAGGCGACTGGCGGGACGGTGGCTTTGGGTCAAGCTGCTCGTGGAATTGGTAGTAGTAGAAGTATGCTTTGGCACCCAAGGGGTCCAGTGTTCTTCGGTTTGCATCCCGAATCTTGCTGACGAGGAGTGAGGAGAATTTGGCACCCTCGGCATACTTTTTTGCGTCATACAGGTAGACCTGCACCCATGTAAGTATAGTGTTTGACGCTGAAAACTAGCGCGCTTGAGCTCCTCACCTGCACTATGATCGCAAGATACACCCAGATCTCCGGCATTGGCTCGCCAGCTTCATTTCCAATCCAGTCATCGTTTACATCGCCATCTGGAGTGTGTCCCATCGCTTCCCATAAGATGTCCCTGTTCATAGGACCACCTGGCGGACATGAGGCGTTGATGGCGAAGGCAAGAGCCTCCTCGAAGTGTTCACTCTTTCTTATAGAGGAGATCGATCGAAGAGCGCGAAGGGTGAAACGTGCATCGAACTGGTACACAGCCTGTTCTACCAGTAGGAGGTTGTTCAGGATGACTGTTGAGGTGTGAGCAAGATCGTTGGACAGTAGGCACGCGATACGTACTCTCTATAGAGCCTTCAGCATCTGAGGAGTTGCTTGTGCTCACTTCTGGAGACGACGTCTCAACATCCATGTTGTCTGACATGTTATCGAGCTGTGATGGGGAGGTTCGAGGTTGAGATGATTGTGATGTGACTGTATGAGAGCTTGAAGTTGAGTGTCTGGAGTTGAAGCTCGCTCGCCCTCGCGCCTTCCGTCAGCGACCCTGGAGCCGCATCGGAGCTTGCCGTTTCACATGTCGCGGGCGCGTCTCCCGCGTTTACATCGTCAACACCTAAATTCGTACGTCAATCCTGAGTTAACAGAGCGAAAGAAGCGAAAGGCAGCATTCAATTGTATGCTATAGCTATCACAAAAAGCATAATGGCTTCTTCCTTGCTATCCTCCCACCTGGAGCAGATCTCCCTTTGCGCGTCATCAATCGCAGACCTTCCTTTTCCTGGACCGAAGATCTTCGCGAATGCACTACTTGCGCCGCACGACATTACAGCGCTGATCAGAGATACGGAAGCGCATGAGCGTGCGCTTTTCTCGGTTGCGCCCCCGCCGATACCGACCAAGTCGCAAGTTCAGGAACTGTCCGCTTCGCTTTCAGGGTCAGTTGCATCAACTGTACAAGGCAACTGTCGAACGACTTTCGCTCCCAGCGCTGCTAGGCCGCCACGGAGGCATACTGCTGTTGCAGCAGTGCTTGGAGGAGACCTCTACAGAAGAGTCAGGAAAGCACGTGATGAAGCGGACGCAGGAAGATTTGGCCGGACGAGAGAGAGGGGCGATATAGATGTCGAAGTCCTCCTCGAGGGTGCGGAGAAGCTGTGCGGAGTGTAGTATGTTGTCATGAGAATACTTGATCGTGGGAAGTGTTACTGATGTGCCTTGCAGTCCTGTTCCGGGTGCAGCAGACAAGATCGCTCGGCTCCGGAGCAGATACCAGCAACTGTCCGACAATATCGCGCACTACGAAGCAAAAGTGTCGAAACAGGCTGCACAACTGGACAGGATGAACTCGAACCGAGACTATGACGATATGGAAAGCTACATTAACGAGGACGAGGAGGCCGCGCCGCCAGCACCTGAGGTTTTCGCCATGACCAAGGAAGATCTATTGAGAGAAGAGCAAGAGATTCGTGACCTGGAGCGCAAGAAGAGAGGTCTTGAAGAGCGTGTCACTGGCATGGAGAAAGATTTGGGTGGCCTGATGCGCTGAAAGGCTATTCATGCTCGAAATGCCGAAACGGCATGAGTCTGAATGTGTCTGCCATCCAGCCGTCAGCCCCGTGCCAGGTGAAGATGTAGCGTCAAGAAAGCAGTCCGCACTGAGGCTTCGGAGTGGTGGGCCGCGCGCGTGGTGAAGTACAATCAAGCGTAGCATACATCAGCGGCCATGGACACGTCTCTTTGACAACTTGTGGCACGTACTTCGGAGACGCGGGAGGACAGAGCGGCCTCGACCTCTGGAAAGATTGGTGTGTCGCAAATGGATGTCATTGCGCTGCCCACACCCACCAATAAACACAGCTCCGGGTGGCGAAGGCTTTGCAGATGTGAGACAGCTCGGCAGAGTGTTCTTCTGGATCAAGTTGGGGAAAGGGACATGTCTTCAGCAACGCATGCGTTCTTGTTGTGTAAAGCTAGGAGAGCCATTTTACCTTTGTCTGGGGTTCCTAGAAGCTTAGCTCGGCATTTGGCGTTTGCCTTCATTCCGCAACACCTTGCCAATACGAGTTACATGAGGCTATGGGCCTATTTGACCTTTGCTAAGCGTTATCATACGGAAAAGAAAGACGATATCACTTCTATATCATTATCACGTTTTCAGCATTTAGCTCAAGGCGTCGGCTCACGTCTACGTTTGATGTAATTGTTCTCACTGCTGTGTTACGCTCGTACGAACATACCTAGTACACATGAGACCTTGTACTCCGGTGGGTGAATACCGGTTGTCAAGCACGCACAATTACATACCACCTGGCGCCCAGGAGTCAGCCTCAGGCGAACGCTAACACAAGGTCATCCTTGAACGGAAATGATTATCATGTAAATTCGCCTTCCTTTGCTAGTCTACTTAGTTCCATTTGCGGTTGTTCTAGTTCTGTGCCTTGGTACCTGGCTTATCTGGTGCGGACAAATATACATCAGGTCTGGTCCTTTAAGGTGGAGTATTCAATTGGTGCATATCAGAAACACAGACCAGCAAAGCGCGGTGTAGTGGTCGAACAATCAAAACCATGACAGTTGAACCTCACTCTTGATCCAATTGACATAACAACTCACTGATTCATTCAGCGCGTTGAGATCACGGCATCCTTTTGCTCGCTCGCAAGACTCGTCTTGTGTTCGTGTCTGTGTGTCTTGCGGTTGAGTTTCCGTACGTTCATGATGCCAAGGCCAAGTGAGGTGAACGTGGACAAGGAAGGTGCTACTTCCTCTATGGGAGGCACGCTAACGGCCTTCACATGTCATGCTTATCCCGACTTCATCTCCTCCGACCTCATTGTGGACTACACCTATGTTTGTGACGTCCCCGGAACTGGAATACCTCCATCTTCCCAGCGGTGAGCCTGAAGGCCGCGTCTTCGGTCTTCGACTTCAATTTTCAAAGCGACACCTCAGCACTACCTCGTGCCCGCTCTTCGATATGCTGGATACCCGAGGACATGGCTGGCTTCCGTAGAATCCTGAGAATGTGTGGTTCGCTTATACTAGTTTGATTCACGGACTGACAATGAAAGGAAAGTACTCGCGCTTCCCACTACTGTCTTGAGATGTTCATATTGATTGATTCGGCACCTTACCAGGTCAAGTCTCTACCGCAAAGATTGCAACACTACCACGGACCTGAGGAAGATTTCTTTACCTGGCCTACCCGGAACAGCTTGGCGACGTTGTTGTGTGACAAGAAGACATAATCACGCCTTTGTGACCGGAACTGCTTCAACCGCGCAGCACTCTTGATATATCGTTGTCCAGAGTATTGCTGGTCAGCCGGGTCAATGTCTTCGGGGTCCATCAGGATGAACAGGCGGCCTGCACCCTCATACATGCATACCAGTCTACGAGATTGCCACGAACCGCCCCAGTCATGAATATACTCGACAGGCCGGAGCCGGCACCAAATCGAACGGCCATATCTCGACCGCCTGGACTCGTAGGGAAACGGGGAAACGTCCAAAGGCATCCCTGAAACATCGCGCAACGTTCCCACCATACCGCCGAGCCCCGGCGTCTCAACTCACTGCACCGCGGTTTTCCCAATGCAGCATAAGATGCTACGTATATAATGTTTGTTGGCGCGCATATTCTTCATCAGAGAGGGCGTATGGTTTAATGGTATAACATCTTCTTAGCATTCGCTGATATAGCGAGTTCCTGAGTTGGAGAAGGTCCCCGGTTCGATTCCGGGTTCGTCCACTTTCCTTTTGCGGTTCCGAGGTCCTTTCCAGGATTGGAGGCTGCTCTTTTGCATGCCTGCGAGGCGTCTGGAAGCGCTGACAGTCAAAATTGGTTCTCTGGGCTATGGAGGCGCTTTTGTGGGCGACGACGCCGAAACTCCGATCATGCTTCGCTGCCATCAGGCGTACAGGGACACTCAGAGAACTCCATTGCATACCTCACAGAATGCCCTTTGACACTTACTTTTACATGATACATGGGGCAGAGTGCGCGTGCCATATGATTGCACCACCCGGATGTTCCATACATGAGGATGGACTTTGACATCTTCCATCACCCACAAGGCTTCAACCTCCAGAAATTTGGAATTCCTTAGATAAGAGAAGACTACAGGTAGTAGGTCAACGAACAGCATCGCATTATTCATTGTACAGACTCTCAGACTGGACCCTACCAACATGTGAGGAGTTTCACTCCCTGTTCTTCAGCTCCAAGAACTGGCCCACAACATCCTCTACCATGCTTCCCAGGTGTTTGAACTTGAAACCCAGCTCTTTCTCCGTCTCACTCGCATCCGCATTAACCGGAACCGTCTCAAGAGCACCGTCATTCGGAATCACGCCATCCGCGATTTCCTGTGGAAATTTCTCCTTCGTCACATCTCTGATATTATTCCAAGCCTTCCCTTCAGACCCATTAGAGAAGACAGCGAACGCTTTGTATCCCCTCACAGCCGGATTGTTCTCGTCAAGTGCACGCACATGGACCTCAGCCACATCATCCAAGTGGGCGAACGCCGCCGCCGCCGGCGGATTCCCGTCACCCTCCTTGACGATGCCAAAGGGTATCCTCAGTAGCATGGCGTCGGTACTCGTCCACATGTCGCTGCTTTTCTCGGCTAGCAAGTTTCGCCCAAAGACGTATCCGGGGTATACATTGACGATGTCGAAGTGCTTGTCTGGGTGCGTGGCCACCCACTGGTCGGTAGCACGCAGCGCCGCGATCTTCGACGCAACATAAGCGAGCAGGCCACTGGGCTCGTTATAGGGTGGAGGAATCTCATCAGGAGTCGGCGAGGCGGCCGAGAAGACCTCATCGGTACTCTCTTGACCAAGCAGTACGGATGGCCGGATGACAGCTATGATGCTGGAGGTAATGACAACTTTCTTCACGCTCGGGGTTTTGGCGGCCGACTCAAGCAGGGAGAGTGTAGCGGCGACAGCGGGTTCGACGTAGAAAGCATGTTGTTGCTCTAGGGACTGCTCCTTGCTGGCGGCGGATGTTGGCATGGGTGAGGCGACGTGAATCACGTATTTGACGCCCTCGAGGGCGGAGTCGAAGGCGCCGGGGACGGTCAGGTCCGGGATGGTGACGAAAGAGATGAGGTCGTCCTTGTTCAAGGAGGCGAGGGCGGGGTTGGAGAGGAAGGAAGCGGACTTGGACTCGGAGCGTACGGCGAGACGGACGGGGTAAGAGCGGGAGAGGAGGGTATGGAGCATTTTGATGCCGATGAAACCGGTGCCGCCGGTCAGGAGGACGAGGTTGGGTTCGTTGGTCATGGTGATGGTTCGCCTACAGCTGGGGTGTAGAGGCTTTGTTGGAACGAGGGATGTTTCTCAGTGTCCTGATATTCGGTTCTCTCGTGGTTGAAGAGTCTGTCCTTTAGGCCTCACTTGGTGGCTTGGATGTTCCTTCGTATGCAGTGGTGATGCCAGCTGTCAGGAGAGGACGCATCTAATCATGTCATTCAATTATACCACGCGTATATCTTGGTGGTAAGCAAACTGCATGACGTGACAAGCCACGGTGCAACTATATGCCATCTGCCTTGTAGATACGCGCCTGAGTGCATGATCAGTCATACTTGGCAGGGCGTGAGTTGATGAGGACAAGTATACTTACTAAGGAGAAGGGTAAGCATGCCCAAGAAGACATCGAGGCTTGCACAATCCGGATGCGAAAGGTTCCAGAGCGAGTTACGCATGGTCCTGCTGCCTGTCAATGGTGTACGTCCCTGCTTAGTGATCAGCCACGAGCGAAGCGAAATTAGTACCCCCTGATGTCTATATCTCGATCACTAATCTTGAAACAATGTCCTGAACCTATGGCTGTGCATTTCAATTGCCGTGGTCTTGCAATTCATGGTACGATCTGGGCCTTACAGAGTCTCGGCTCATGGCATGATTCTTGATGTGTTTGGCTTTCTCTACCTACTCCTATCATATCCCAGTCATAATCGTCACCGCGACGTTTCAGAGTGCTTCCCGTTCCTACTTCTCGGATTTCAGCTCGTATAGATTGACTCTTTTCTCGCCCGACGCATGATCAGAACCTCGTCTCATACGTATCATCCGCCGCTGCCTCAATCACGACCGAGCCTCGACTATTTTCCACGTCCACTTTTCCGTTCGAAATTTTCAGATCCTCTCAATCGAACATCTTGGTCATCGCCTTCTGCGCCAATTCCACACCCAGGAACGTGGCTGCATTGGCCGGCACAGCTCTGGCCATCGCCGGTCCAATACCGGGGAAGAAAGCCTTGACTCCACCTCTTCCATACAGCTCTCGGATTGTGCCACCAATTGTAGGTCTACCCTCCGCAGACTGGATCCTACTCTTGATCGTATCCACCGGGAAGACTGGAATCCACATGGCCACACCCGCTGCACCTCCAGCTGTCATGACAGCAGTAATACTCAGCTCGCCAGGTGTGCCGTCAGCATTCTTTGGCGTCAACCGCCGCTTGACCGTCTCGTAGGTGGCGAAGTATACAGCTGAGCCTGGTCCATCACGTGCCAACGTCATGGCGCTTCCTCTGAACACTGATCTGATACCGCCCTCCTTGTAAAGTTGCCGTACCACATCGACACCGCCAGCGTATTTGGGCTTTTCACCGGGAGCGAGTTGCTTTTGACCTTGGATTTGCAGTAGCACTTTCACGCGCTCGAAGGGAGCGGTGATGAGCGTCATCGGAATGGCGGAGAAGAAACCGGCGGCAGACACTTGGCCTACGGAGTACTGGTCGTTCTTCACCTCGCTGAACGAGCGGACTAGGCCCTTGCCTACGTCGTAACCCTACGGAGTGTTAGTGGATGTCAGGAGGACTCGTAAATCTTGAGGCACCGCATACCCAAAAGCTGACAGCGACTGCAAAATGGGTTAGCTATTGTCATCGAGAACTGCATTCCATGACTTACACATAGGCGTGACGCCCACCAGCGGCGCAGAAACTCCGGCGTAAAGACCCTACTCCAGTGTCAGCCTTCCCTTCGCATTCCACTACAAGCTCAGTGTCCATACCCTCGCAAGACCCTCTTTGGCAATCGTTTTCCTGACTACATCCATGGCGCCATTGTATACACCTTTCTCCGCAGTCTGTAACCGCACCTTGACCAAATCGAATGGGTGGCCCACTACCACCGCAAATACACCGCCTACACCTCCTGCTATGAGCGCTCTGAAGCTCTGAAGAGTTCCCTTGCTTGCTTCCACGACATCTTCTTTCAGTTCGGCGGCTGAAGGTATTTCAGGTTTCGGAATGCTGGAGGAGTTCGAGGAGGAGGACATGTTCGGCTGACTGGAGCTGCCCTGTGGACCAGCTGAGGTGCGATGACGTTCGGGGTTTCTGTGCGCTCGGATTGGGGTTTAGGGCTGCAAAGGGCGTGTATGCGTGTGAAAGAAATCGTTTGCGTTGAATCGTAGATGTTTGAATTCGAAAGAGGTACCGGTAAGATGTATATTTAAATCGAGAGTTATTCCCAAAAGCATGTGCTGTGTCGCAGGTCCTCGGCCTTTGAGCGGTTGGAGGATGCGCGGGCCGAGGCATCGAATTTCCAGGGCACGACCGTTCATAAGGCGCTAATTCGGCGGATGAATGGACTAGCTTGGCACGGTACTTGGCACTATGCAAGACCCCCATGGGCGACAGGAGCCGACTCCACTTGCATCGGTACATGTACTGTAGCTTGTGGAGATACCCTGAACCTCACATCCCTCCGACCGACTCCCATCGTCATTGCATTCGACGAGAGGGGACGGCACGCTTGGCAAGCACCGTCTAGAACTTCACAACTCCATAAGACCGACTGATATCGGCTTTCGCAACAATGGGCAGACAAGGGATAATAGTATCAAGTACAGTACAGTATTCGTACATGGAATGGAATCTATAAATACAACTGTGGCTCATCTCCTTCGTCAACCATCTATTCAGACCAAAAGAAACCAAATCACATCAATGGACAAACTGGCCCTTTCTTTGCGGGAACAGCCTCTTCGTCTTCGCTGACCACCAGCAGATTCAAGCAATGCGCAAGCCGAGCCTCTTCATCAATCTCCTCTTTCATGGCATTAATCTCCTGCATAAACTCCATCACCTCATCACAAGCAAACAAATACAACATCTGCGTCTCCAATCTCATGCCGATTTTCGTCTTTTCACTGTCCCACCTCATCTTCAAGATTCTCTTCGAAGACTTCGTTTCGTCGTCTCCTAATTTCCAGCACAACCTCGCGGCAGCCCTAAGCGTGGGGTACGGGTCCTCTTCGAACTCCGCACGGAAGTGTTCGACAGGCCGATCCAGCAAGTCCCGACCCATCCTAGCTGCGGTACAGCATTGGCTCTGGAGCTGCTGCCAGTTCTTGAAGATGCCGTAGCGGATCGACTGTAGTTGGAAGATTCCACCAGGCAACGTGAAATCCGCATGTTCGGCGACGGCGAGGAACTTCTCGACTCTGTAGAGCGCATTTTCCAGAAACTGATGCACACTCAGGGCGCGATCGTGGATGCCCCTTGCAAACCAGGACTCGGTGGGTTCGAGGGCCATGCGCGCAGAGACTTTGGGCAAGGCTATCCGAGGTGGGTTGGTGGCTTGCATCTCCATTGCTGATGATTGGAGATGATTTGTCTTTGGACTTGGTATGGTATAGTAATTTGAAGTGGCAGTACGATGGAGAAGGCTTTTTGGTAAGGCAATCTAGCTGGACGTTGATCTGAATGGTTGATTGAGTTACTGGAA